TATATATATATATATATATATACATACACACACACACATATATATATGTTTATAGTGGTTAATTCTTATAATGCCAAATAAAATGGTGATTCTCCTTTTAAATTCAAGTACTTACCTCTGTTCGGTGAACCATCAGCCAGTGGCCATCTGATGTCTGCTTGTGAAACTCCAAGTATGGATCTGACTTTCCAAACAAATCCTACATTAAAAAAAACAGCTTTCACTTTCTTATGAAACCCTGTGTGAACACACCTTATACATGATACACACACACACACATACGCATATACATATATATGTTATATAACCACACAGGTCCAACTCCATAGATATACAGGTTGCAAGTATCAATCCCATCACCTCTAACACTAACTTAGAAATGTGCAGAAGTATACTAGGGAGGAATATTAAGACATTTGTGATGAGTAATCCTGTGTATCAAACACACAGTACTTTAAAATGCATTGATAAAATGTGTGCTGGCTTAATGTCAGCATTTTAAGTTTCCATTCATATAATATTAAATACATAAATGATACCCCAAACATTAGCCTTATTAACTCTATGACAGACAGGGCTGTTAGCCATGGAAAGGGAGACAGAAAGGCTTTAATAACTTTCCCAAGGCCACATACCTTATTAACTGATAAATTTGGGCTTTAACTTTGTATCTCTTCCTTCCATATCTGACTCCCTTTCACCAATTCTAAACATATTTTTTTTTCTTCACACAAAGGAGCAGAGGTAGATACACAGTATATAATAGAAATCGAAAATACAAGCTGTATCTCCTATACCTCACCACAGTATTCCTATACAAGGCTTAGGCGCAGTGAGTCTCAAAAGTGCTTATTCCTTGTCTTCATCACATGTAGATAAAATAATGGCATAAGTACAAACTATTCCGTAAGATTAAATTCAGCCATATGGTGATCATCTTGCTTATCATCATTTTGAAACATACTTATTACTAAGTTCATATTACTTAGTGTTTCTGGAAGTAGATGACACTTTTAATACCTCAAATAATACATGTAGATTTGTCACTATAATATACGCAAGTTAGGGCTGGCGAGATTGCTCAGTGGCTAAGAGCACCTGCAGCTCTCTTAGATGTGCCTGACTCAGTCCCCAGCTCCCACATCAGGCAGCTCACACCACGGGTAACTCTAGTTCCAAGGGACCCAGCTCCCTATTCTGCATCTGTGCGCACCAGGCAGAAACAAGATGCATACTCACATATGCATACACTGGAAATATAAACAAAATATTTTTCTTTAAAGACCTATGATAGGACTATTTCTCTTGAGCATATTTAATGTCAAACAAATAACATACTTGGTACAGTGAAAATTAAAACAACTATAGAGAATTATCTCTAAGAATCTTAAAAGTGAATTAAAGAAACTTTTTGTGCTCCCATTTTCTACAGCTGATAAGAGTCTTAACAGGTAAGTTAACTTAAACACACACACACACACACACACACACACACACATACATTACATGCTTTGTGACTTATCTGAAAATGATTCCATGGGAAAGGCAAAGCATGCTTATTAGCATTTTGAAGGTCAAAAAGCAGTCCTGGTTTAAAAGTTCATTAACCTGTCCATATTAATAGTAACGGAGGAGGGAAAGGTTCTTGACTGACTCGCAGGATGTAAAGTAAAAACAAACAGAAGGAAAGAAGCATGTGTCGAACACAATCCAAGAATGGAGTGTGTGAGGGGAATTCTGAGTGCCTGTGAGAAAGCTCCAAGAAAACAAGAGTCTTGTGACCTCAGTTTCTTCAAAAACAGGGAATTGTTCTTGAAATGTGATTTGTGCCCCTCCCAGGTGTAGCAGATAGGAGTGAGCTGACTTCAGCTGGTGTTATTCACAGGCCTCTATGGAAAAACATGTTTGTGCCACATGTGGCTTGTCCTTGTGATTGAACACCTTACTTACATGATTTTTCTTAACCCTCAGAGTATAAACTGTGTGATGCTCTGAATAAACTTGGTTATTGCATTTAGTTCGCCTCAGTTTTAGGCCTCACTCTCTCAGGTTCACACTGCCAACTGGAGCAGTAAACAGTGTGCACCTCCTGAACTAGATTTACTTAAGGGCTGGGAGTGGGTACTATAAATAGAAACCCAAACACAATTATGTGAATATAGAGAGAACATGTACAAACATGCACATGTATGTGTAAACACGTATATGCATAGGTATGTACACATATGTATAAGTATGTGAACGTCTATGTGTGTATGTGCACATACACCTATGTAAAATCTTAGGTTTTCATGAAATTAAAGTCACAAATATAAACATTTAAAAATATTACTTACAGGAAAATAGCAAGAACAGAAAGAAAGAGAAGCTAAATCTCTTGGATATACTTTGTTTTACAGATTTAGGTTTAAGCCACAGAACTTGTTTCTTTAGAGACAGGTGTTCACTATGTAGCCCAGGGGCCTCAAACTTGCAATATTCTTACCTGTTTGTTTCCTGAATGCCAAGTCTACAAGTATTGCCACCACAGCTGGCTAAATTATAGTGCAATGATCTTCTCCTTCTCTGTGTGTGTGGTGATGAAGACTGAACTAGAGCCACACACAGACTAGGCAAGCATACACCCAATGTTTGCTCAGACTTATAATCTCAGCACTTGGGAGGCAGAGGCAGGAAGACTATCATGAGTTTGAGGTTAAAAGAAGAAAAAAAATAGGAAGAAAAGTATTTAAAATCCAGTGGGGGGAGCTGGAAATAAGGATGACTCAGCAGTTAAGACACTTGTTGTGCAGCCATGGACCAGAGTTAGGATCCCAGCATACACAAGTCAGGCACCTCACAGACATCTTCTGTGCACCCAACTACATGTGCACAGGAACATAAATTCACATCTACACATAAAATCAATCTTTAAAAAAGGCATTTTCTTGGGATCTATATACTATAAGGGCCTAGAACCAAACCACAAGTGACAGAACCAGCAAATGGGAAGCACCTCTACGCCAGTGTAGCCCCAAATACACACCCACTAAGATGAGACCAGGCTCCTTTTACTGTGCCAGTCTGGGGCAGAAACGATATAAAATTAACTTGGAACATCATGTCATCTGACAGAAACAGAACAAGGAGACTATCTATAGATTCCTGTTTGTACCAAAAGGTCTCAAACCTGAGGCTGAGACTGGGATAACTTGAATATCAACCATAATTCACTTGTTATAGTTAGCAGTTATTAATGTTTAAATCCATGAGTTTACAGTTATTTAAAGAATAAAATTAAACAACAAAAAACACTTAGTCACATCTGGAGGATGCTAGGGAACCTACTTATTCAGGAAAAAAAAAAGATGTTTACAAAGGGTACTACTAAATGTTTTGTCTTTCCTGTATAGAACATACTTCAGTGATAAATAATCAACAGATAAATATCGGGGCTAGATAGATGGTTTAGCACTTAAGAGTACTTGTTACTCTTGCAGAGTTCCCAGGTTCAGTTTCCAGCACCCACAAAGTGACTTACAACCATCTATAACTCCAGTTCCTGGGGATCTGAACATCTCTTCTAACCACCACAGGCTTCATGCACACACATGGCGAACACACATACACATAGTCAAAAGACATACACATGAAATAAATAAGTCTAATAACACACCCCAAGAGGAGACAGAGAGAGGGAGAGAGAGAGAGAGAGAGAGAGAGAGAGAGAGAGAGAGAGAGAGAGAGAGAGATAGAGATAGATAGATTCATTTAGTTTGGGGAAATGTCTCTCCATAGAAATGAAGCTCTAGCAGAGTAAGAATATCACTGTTTCATAGACCTGTAAGACAATATATGCAGGCAGCTATCATCAATAGTCGTTAAAATCACCAAAAATATATAACTGAGTATTAAGCCCCTGGTGGAGTTACACACAACTGATGAAATTGTCTTGCCAACAATTCAAAATACCATCAGATAAGCTTACTGAAATCAGGAAACAGAGAATAAAGCATGAGAAATGATGCCACAGGGATTTGGTTAGCCATAAGCTGATATGTACAAACTTCTACAGGACAAAGGAATCTTTTTCTAACTGTATTGATAGACGAATGGATGGATGAGTGGGCGTGGGTGGTGAAGGAAGGAATGAGGGATAGATGGCAAGAAAAGAAAGACATAACAGAATTTACAGATCAAAAATTATCTTGAGGTATTTTAAATAATCACACTTTAAAGGGTCTTTAGAAACATCAAAATATTTGTGCTCAAGAAGGCATGGTGCCTGAGAAGAGGAAAAGTGGATAAAAACAAACAAAATTCACCATGAATCACAATTGTTAAAGGTGGGTAAGAGAACATGGTGTTTGTTGGATTTTGTTTTGTTTTGTTTTTCGAGACAGGGTTTCTCTGTGTAGCCCTGGCTGTACTGGATCTCGCTCTGTAGACCGAGCTGTCCTCAAACTCACAAAGATCCACCTGCCTCTGCCTCCCAAGTGCAGGGATTAAAGGTGTACATCACCACGCATGGCAATATGGTATTTTTAAAAATGCTATTCTATTAACGCTGTTATGTTAATTTTTAAAGCCCCTGGAAACTAGTCTTAAGAGACTTTCAAATTAAGTTCTAAGATAAACAAAAATGGTATTGAAATTACTGTTGTATATTCAATACTGAAATGCAAAATGATTCACTGATTTATAATTAATAAGCCACAGGCATTTTGCTTTTCCCCCCAAAGGTTATTAAAATACTTTCTGGAACTTTACTGTAACATTAATGCTTATATTCTTTTAATCTTTAATTGCACCTTCATGAAAAAGCTGAAGGGAACTAGGTGCTATTTAAG